CTGGCCCAAGTGGAATGGAGTGAGCGAGTTAGTAACTTAGAAGTAAGTCGTCGGGTGTTTGGGAATGCATCGAACGAAAACTCATTATCGCATCCAATTCAGCTTAATAGGCTCCGTTGGTTAGGACACGTTTTGCGTATGTCCGACGGTAGCCTAACGCAGCGCGCCTTGTTTTCAGTGGCTGTTACTAGCTGGAGAAAGCCACGTGGAGGCCAGAAGATGACGTGGAGACGAGGCATAAAGAAATGCACAGAGCGATTAGGTAGAGTAGGTGTCTCTCGTCTTCCGGNAGAATGCTTGAACTAGTATGTATGCACAGTTGGGTTGTGTACTCTGTGTTGATTATAGAGGTTCGCTTTCTTTTCCCGTCCCTAAAAATAGGCCCGATCCCTGTCCTCCTTACACATTCTCACTTATCTTGTATGCATTATGAGTTTGGCAGCGATCAGTGAAGTTCGCTTCACTGTATTAAGCTGTACAATGATGATGATGATGATGGCGAAGAACGACGGGATAGGTAGGTAACCATTTGGCATTTATTTCGCATCTAATAAACTCGTTCGATTTTTTAACGTAGTAAGCGGTTTTTCACGCTCGAAACAGCGTTTGCTGTTTCCGACGCACTCCGATGCTTTGCGATGTAATTATATAATAACAGTCCATAGACTTTGGGGTCGGGGGTATCAATGACAAAGCGGTCCAAACATGACGCAGGGTAAATCCCTCTGCTTCCCTCAAACGGAATTATTGCGGATCTTGTAACTAATTGGAAATACCAGAAAAGGCTGCCTTTGTATTATTCATCAAAACATTATCAGGTTATGTATAAGAGCACATAGAATAGAGTACAGAAGTGTACCAAAAAAGTTGTTTCTTGTTAAACGAAGTAACTTACAAACTCGCCATCATCTTTGGGAATCAGCATATTGATCTCTGAGGATTTAGCCGTGATAACATTGGCAAACTTTGAGTCCGCACTCAAATATACTTGACAACCGTCAGTTTTGTCAATGTTCACTGTGGCCAACTGTCCCATAGACTGTAATGTGAACGGGTGCACGCGGAAATGGATAATCAATATGCATGAATGAAACGAGTGTCATTATGGAGTAATTGATTACACATGAGATATTACTGAACTACAACCGTCGCAGGGTTCCAGTAAGGAAACGAGAATATCTCTGATTGCTAGAATTCGCAAATTACTAAGTACTCAGCGTTTCAATGACTACGTGAACGAAGCTCGTTCACGTTCTTTTGTGAAGCTAACTTGTTGTACGCAGCTTAAGACCGGACGCAAAATTAGATTTTCCAGTTTATAGAACCATTACCCTTGCACATCCGCCAATCATTTTTTGTTAAACTCTCCGTCGGGGGATGAAAATTGCAATGGTGGCTTCCCCCACGATGTCAAGGATTTCATTATATATGTTCACATAATCCGAATACCATGGGAGCAAAGATAAATTGATTGATTTTGATATTCTGAGATGTGTGATAAAAAGTCCTTTGTTATATCCACTTTCCCCAATCAAGCATATTATTGAGTTTTTTACGCAACTGCGAATATTGATGGTAAAAATTGTTATTTTAGTCATTCAGTCTCAAGCTGTCGCTGTATTTTTAACCAGATACCCCGGGCAAAAACGAATAATTATACCACTGATTGCGCATAACATGGCAAACAGTAACTAGAGCTTCTGCGGACGGCGCATAATTTTTTAACATCCGATTACTAGTTCACTTTGAAGTCATTACTGTCGCCCTAAGCGAATCTTCACCCGGAGGGAGGCTTGTGATGCCGGATCTCGTGACTGCCCACTCTGAATATGTGTGGTCCATGTCCTCATAATAAAATGATGTGCTATAGAAAAAAAAACTGGAAAACCTGACGGTATTTATTGTGCTGGAGCACAGTAAAACGAAGTTTATATGTTATGCGCTTATTTGGCACAATTATTCTGTTACTTTGTAGGGTGGGGCGACGGAAAGTCGCTTCATTGCAGACATTAACAGGCATTATTCGATACCACAGACGGCGAAAACAATGATGCTATGCAATGAACGTGTACCGAAGCAGGATTAAACGTATCTATGGTGTCCGTTCCCATTTGGATCAACGGTTTTCTTCTGAGTGTGAAAAGCAAGGCAAAGAAACCAGGCTGACTTAAAGCCCGCTTGATTAATTGCACAAGAATGAATCTAATCACGGACATGCAACCCTAGTTACCCATTCACAGTGCACGTTAGGTTCAAAAAACGTTCACTAGAACGACCAGAGAATGAGGTGGACAACGGAAAGCTGAACGACAGTGATCTGCAAAACTAACACGAGCCGAAAATTTCGTCCATCAACTGGGTCATAATGTCTGAGTTGATTGGGCCGGTTAAAACCTTACAAAAGGATGAGGATGCTCCCCACACACCTCTTATGTGTAAAAAACTGTCAAATTGATCACATGGAACGAGAAACTATCAAAGCATTGATTAATTTTGTAGGATAGCCCCTTTCAAACCCACTAACGCCCCATCGGAGGGCAGTACAATCGGATATCGTAGAAGAAAAAACACCAGTCGCAAGGACTGCGTTACCTCTTATCTGCCTAGATGTAACACTTACTTGTACTTGAACGCTTTGGCAGTTTACAACGTCCAGTGAAGAAATCAAGTGCTCGAAAACAACTCCGGTCTTCTTGCAACTATCTGAAAATAGGAGCATAATTGAAAAAACCCAGATAAGCGTGAGTACCAGAAAAGATACAGGCCCACACAATTAGATAAAAGCATAAATTTTCTCTTAGAATAAGCCGCACCTACCCCACCCCAAGTGTGAAACAAACCAAAACGGACGAAACGTGGCTGGAAGTCATTGCAGAACTGATGAGTACTACTTTCTGAACAAAAACAACTCCAGCACTGAGGTGCTATTCAGACGATGTGAAAGTCACATGAGAGCAGTGGAGGATTGTGATTTCGTTATATGGTAGACTTCGTCGTATATGGAGCAAATTGAGAGTGAACTGAAAGTCTATACGGCTGTTTCGACCGGAGCGTAGCGCATCATCAGTGCGAATTTACCAACCCAAACGGGCATCAAGCCCTGGACCTCAAAGGCAGAATACATGCATACTAATCCATTCTTCTCATATATCAAAGGGGATATTAGTCGTGTATATAGCAAATTAAGCGTGAACTGAAAAGCTGGGAAGCAAGTAGCAAGTGGGCGGGTTGGAATGCTTCCAACTGAGATAAGCGAAGAGCGGTGCCCACAGCAAGCTCGCAAAGATGGGTTGTACGATATTGTGTATGAGGAAACTAACCAACTGCCCGATAGTCTAGTGGGCATGATGTTTTCCTTCCACCTGTGAGGTGGTTTCGCATTGCTAATGAGACCCAATCAGGTTGAAACAAGTGGATGGTGCTTCCTAATTTTACATTTCACGTTTAATTTATTCAAACCTTGAAATCTTAACTACATTAAATTAAATACAAATGTACAAGTTTCAGGAAGAAGGCGAACTGCAGCCATTAAGGTGATTCCTGGGGACACAGAAAGGGAAAGTAGAATGGTGAAGGTAGGATCTGGACACACGTCCTCCGGGGCGATTCTACATATGACAAGTGACACCAATATGACTTGGCCAACGTTGTTGCTGAGAAAACGAAATGAGTGACCGAACAAACCTCAAATAAGTAACAAACATCAGGTCAGTGAAACATTCAGCTTTACAACAAAACAAACTGAGAAAGAGCCCGGGAGATGGTTCTGATTGTCGAGAAAACACAAAACAATACTAGGTCCCCTTTATCCATCGCATCAAGATCGAGGGAAGACATATGTCGCGAGATGTTATCATTTTGTTTATTCTTCTCAATTGCTGACGTAAAACAAGCAAGCAAATTTATAGCAGATTGGATATGTAAATCCTAGTACAGATAGACAGAGCCTACTAGAATTAGAAAAACAGAATTTCCAAGTGGGAAATTACTCAAAGTGTAAGGACGAACAGCACAGTCATGGCTCCAAATCACAGTAAATGGGTTCAATGCTGGCACTCTGTGAACAAATTCCAGTATTACTTAGTACTCCTTTCGCAAAAATAACCGTCTAAAATCACACACACACCCGTCAACAATCCTCAAGGCGAGCAACATATATTTACTTAGGAAGAATCTCGATTGGACTGACAGAACTCGTAGCAGCTATTGTAAAATCCGAAGTTCGTTTGAACTAATGACAATGGTGACTTGGAAAAATAAATATTTCTTTTTATTTACTTTATTTCAATGGAATATATGATTGCACAAACAACTTTTCAAGAAGAGGTCAATCAAAAAGTGCACTATGGTTGGAAGACAAGGGCATACTTAGGTAACGGTGATGAAGGTTTGAGCCCGATTATCGAGACGCTATACAACTCCAGGTCGCCATCTACTTCCCGTTGACTCTACAATGGATTATGCTGCCTGTAATCGTGGGGCTATTCTCGCTTCGAGAATATCTCACCATATCAAGCGATAAGGACAATACAAGAAAGGCAGATCGATGAATAGAAATGTGCGACAGTTTCACGCACCAACGCGCATCTTTACGATATCAGCGGATGCTGCGTTATTTGTCAACAAGGTTGATCAGAGTTTCACGAATTATTCTATTTGTCACTCAGGTCAATGTGGGCTTAAGTTGAAGGAAAAGTGTGGAACAGAGGAAACTTTTGGTATGTACCAACTACGCTTTCAAAAGTTTAACGGGAACAGGCAGTTTGCTGGATCTGGCATATAATTAGTGGGGTATGCATGAGGACGGATAATTTTGTGCTGTGACGACCTTCACACGATTGGATCAAATGACACTTTTCCTGTCGGGATTTAGATCCACCGGATTAGCACAACTGGAGAAACTGTACATATCCACATTCTCGATAGCAAAAAATTTCTGCCAGATCAAGAAAGAACTTTCCGTGGCGCGGTGGTACCTGTTGAAATAACTGACGTTACACCGGATAGATTTTTGGACTCGCTGAGTTTTTGAGCAGCGTCACGTAATTGCTCAGCTCATTGATTAGGGTACAGTATTGCAGTTGCTTCGGTACTTTACATACATTGATTGCTCAAAGACAGGAAACTTAAGCGCACAAAGTGAGGATACTACACATTATTTCAAAGTAACAGATGAATACGTTTCACACGAACACGGTCAATAGCCGACAGGAGATAGGACGAGATTCAACAGAAACTATGGGGCAACGGACAGGAAGGATATCGAGTGAGACCATCACACTTACCGATCATGATAGAATTCACTTTCCCCTTGATTTGCAACGTACATCCGGTGCACTTGTACACGTAAACCGTCTGCTTTGTCAGTGTTTCATTGATGTGCAATGTTTGATTGATGAAGTTTTCCTAGAAAGAAATTAAAAACAGATTGATTTACTCGCTCGTAAAAGATGTGCTGAGATCAACCAGACCAGAAAATAGGAAGGCTTCAACGGATAGAGTAATAAACCGTTTCAGTCGTTTGCCTGTGATCTGTTATGAGAAACTAGTGAATAAGCATGACTAGGAAGATAACTTGATTCGCGGGAAAAATATGTTTAAAATGAATGTTTGGTTGTTTTTGTGTTGGAAGCCAGTTTCGACTACTAAGGTCCTCTGGTGATGTTTGAAACCGGAACAGCCCACGCATGCATGACCAACGACATGTATCCTCAAAAGTATGTTTTCCAATGGAAAGAAAAAGCTGTGGGAAAAATCGCATTTGACTGTTGTTCTTGTGTGAAATGTGGATGACTTGATGGAGAGTTTTGTGACTCCAGTTGTTCACAATTGGGAACACAGATAAATACGATGCAACATGCCAATATCAAGCATGAGAACGTTCTGAGGAAGACGTGCAATCCTTGTATTAACTGCTTTTTTTAAAGTTTTTGTTCAGTACATTAGCAGCATAAGATCACTATGTTATTTGCATGTACATTTTACAGGGCGGATCAATTCCAGAGATCGATGCACTTGAGCTAAAAAGATTCAAGTGAAGTGAAGGAATTGCGTAGCTTGCTGTTTTCACTGATTCATCGACGTTGGACATCAGGTAATTTTTATTTCTGATGTCTCCATCAGGAGTCCGTATTTAGCTACGGTCGATATGGTTTTAATGCATTTCTTTGTTCTACTAGTTTCATTTAAGCAGGATGAGCCAAACCAATCAGAAATCGCCAAGGGTGAATGCCACAATTTAGTTTCAATGGACCTAGCTTATTTTGAGATACGAAAATGTAACAAGCGCATTTACGTAGCGATTGAGTAGCCTTAAATGACCGTGCAATTTCAATGATATAGATTATCGAATTCAGAATCCATAATCAAACTGTTGTTTGGCCAATTTGAAGTTTGTATGGCGATTATGAAAAGTTCAGTAGCCTCGGTAGGATTCGAACCAACGCATGGACGCCGCCTACGCTTTGAACGCGCACGCTCTACCAACTGAGTTTGTCATAATTTAATGGCATTATCGAAACGGTCATTTTCAAACTTGATAGCTTTCTCATGTCACGAACACTAACAGAAACCGATCGGTACATTCACTATGGCCAGTGTGGGTCAGCCTTAGTGCAGCTGTTACGATCGTGTTCATCCCATGATGCCACTATTTTTTTTATTTCACCTTAGCTTAACCAAACATTGTTACCAAACCGATACGAACACAGGTACTCACAACTAACCAAGGTGCGTATTTTGAGGTTTCCTTCACACGGCTAATTTGTGATGTGAACACATTTTTCGGGCTAAGCCGTAGTTCCATTCACTCAGGTCTATTCACTCTCTTTCAAAAGCCTATTTCGTGCTTCGATCAACTAGAAAAGTTCACCTGATCGCAGACAGTCTGACAGCTTACTTACGCGATTCATCAGACAGCATGCGTCTCTTGCTGAACTATCACACCTGGCCAACCCCATTAGCATCACATGATCCCACAGGCCATGTCGTGCTGCTGTTTTTAGTAATCTGTTCAAGCGGAATCAATGATTTGTTCCAAGGAACTAAGATCTCAAAAAATAGACCGATTGAATCAACCATGCTGCTAAGATAGTGTTGACCCAATGCATAAATCCTGTCTTTCAATTATTTTACTTCGTTTTGGACAATCTAAAAACGAAAAGATCCAAAAGAGTCAGATTTGGTTGTTTGGGTAGCGCACCAAAAGTGCACTTCGCATTCTCGCGATTATATTCTATACGGAAAATCATTTCAGTAGGGTCATAATTAAAATTTGATTGACGTTCCAGTTCAGTAATTTGCCATACCATCCTGATATCAAATTCGATCTATCTGTGTTGTTCGGTTACCGAGAAATGGTATAAAAACAGGGGTGATTAGGTGCATTTCGCGCAGCATTACTCATTTAAAGAAGTCACCGACAGTGTATTCACACAGAAAAGAACAATTGGTTTTGTTTGTTCTTCTAAATAGTCGGTAGGCCCGTAGGTACGCATTGTTGGATTTGAATAACGGTACTTTCGTGGTCCTAAGACATCAATTAAGTGAGCTTAGTGGTCATTGTGGATCTTTCCATTCGTGACGTTACTCGCAGCATCAAGTAATATGCGACGATAACACCAGCATAGACCTTGCTTGGCTTTGAAAATTGAATGATTGCGTTCGATATCCACGTGCGAATGAAAGCAATCATCTTACGACTGCCCCGTAAACGATGAGTCACAGAGGGTGCACTACCTACCTACGTGTTCGCCATTCATTACCCTAATTTCACAATTCGCACAGAAGGGAGCAGACACAAACCGAAATCCAATATCACACCTGCAGAAATCGTTCTCGTCAAACTTTCCCATCGTATTTGAATTCTAGTTACGATGACCACACCAGGATACAGTCACGACTGATGCTTTTAAATTGGGTTCGTTAACATATCCCCTGGATGGGTATACTTAACCGAGAGAACCAGGCAGTCAGGGCTGGATGAGTTTACATAAGTACCACTGCAATGCGACCACCATTGATTAGACTGGTCTCGACCTATTAGTCGCATAATTATGTGTAGAACGCATCCGATCAGCTGATCGATTAAGGGATCTTTGGGCGGCCGTTATCGGACGTTATATACATACGATTGTTTCACAAGTGAAATATATATATATATATGTGTGTGTGTGTGTTTAAGTGTGTGGAGAAAAATACTTGCCCGAATCGTCTGAGACCACTAATACGGTGGAGCACAATAGCATGATACAACAGCTCATCTCACCATAAATAAAAGCGTGAATAAGTGGGGGACAGATCAATCACATTATCAGGGTAATGGTGACCATTGGGTAATCACCATTACTCACCACGACCCATTTGTTTTCCCGAAGCTCCAGCACACCCTTGGCTGGTGCAGATGGAGTTCGGTTTTGAGTCTCCGTTTGTTGTTGAGTTGGCTTCGGTGGCTTGATCGGGGTGGTTTGCGCGGCACGCAATGCCGGGTTCTTGTGAGTCTTCATATCATCGGTGACTTTCCTCAAACCGGATGTAATTGCCTCCCCGCGATTGATTGCCGCAAAAAGTGCATTGCGTCCGCTCTCGCCATCATCACCCTGTGATACAGGAGGTACGACATAACGGGCCCGAATGAATGACCTCGGTCACAAAATAGAAATGTGAATAACAGTAGCAAAAAGACTTTGTGGTGTAAGGATGAACTCGAAGTGGACACAGCAGACAATGGACAGAATGACGCTGAATAACAGACGAAGCTATGCATGAAAAAAAACTAGACGGTATTGGTCAACCTCAACAGTACAATAGTCCAATACAGCATTTGGGACAAACAGATACCTTTTTATTAGACATAAGTCAATGCAGTAAAGGGGGTAAACACCATAGTCTAAGGATATGCTGCATGTAGCATGGGGAAGGGCAAATCGAAGATAGGACCAATCTGTTGATCCCGTACTTGATGGAAAGAGTACCACAGGAGAAAAAATCTATACAGTCACGCTATTCTTTAGAAAAAAGATAACTGGACGTTGGTTGTGCGACACTTGAGAATAGTCCGTTGGGATGAGTGGCAAACCCCGGCGTTCGGGATCTACGAGGAAGAGCGAGTGCTATAGGGACGGAAGAAGCAAGTTCGGCGGAACACAAATAGTACCGGTGGAATGAGGAAGCGACCGCTTGACAGTGGGTAAGCGACTACGAGTTACATGTGAAGGACGGGTAATTGATGAAGTGAATGGACTGAACCGAAAAGAGGAGTAAGAGAGGCAAAAGAAGCTCCAGTGCACACCTGATTGCAGGGCAAATCTGAGCTTTGTAAAAAGAGGAGTGAGTAAAAGCCAACAAGCGTCTGGCGCGGGGAAGAAAGGTGACCTTGAGCCCAACGCAGGAGGCAAGTAATCAAATATGGCGTGACCATGACACAGAAGATACGGCTAGTCTCAATAAATCGAAATTTTATGGAGAAAAATTCACGTTTATGAGAGATGGAAATGAGGGAGGTTATACCAGTATCGAAGAGAAAACCATCGTACTCCTGCCAAACGGAAATGAGATTAAGAACAGAATTTATAAAGCTACTGATGGAGGAGCAGCCATTGCTGATGCTGGTTAGTGGAAAAAGCAGTACGGCTGTTAGGGCTGCAATCACGGCCGACAGGGAGATCGTTAATTGTGAGGGGGCGTGCACAACTAGTGGTTGTTCTATAAACGTACACGCATTTGTTGGGTGAGATGCGGAATGGTGTGTGTGTGTGTGTGTGTTAATCGTAAATGACACTTCCCCTGTCCCTCGCTCTGCCGATAAGTGCATGCATGCTGTGACCGAAACCGAGAGTGCGATGGATATGCATCTTCATCTGTGTGATTAATCGTCTATTTTGTACGAAGCCTTTACTGTCGCCACATACAGATATGCCCGATAAATGCAAACACAGACACGCATATATGCCATGGCGCGAGATGAAGACGTGTCGATCGAACGTCCACACGCGCAAGCCGGTGCGTCATCGCCGTGTGCACGAAACGCTGGAATGCGGGTAAAAGGACGTGAACAACAGCACTGGAAAGAGGGCTGTTATATATAATCAGTCGTAAGTTGAGGACGACAAAAGGAAGGTGTAACTGTACAAAGATGAAAAAGGAATGAATGAAAGCTTCGGTTCGGTTACTTGGCTTAGGCCAGAGTCAAATGTGACAAAACAACAAAGACACATCGGAACCAATAATAGTGCGTTTTTTTAGTCATGATAGTTTTGCCCCACGGACCCCATCAACAAGTGGAACTATTAATTTGAAGATGATGAATCGATAAGACAACTCGATCCGGTTTAGATCGAAAGGCAACTGACAATTCGTGTAAAGAGAAATAGGACAAATTGGGTCATAAACACCTATGTTAAGAGGACATCCTGAAGTCTGCATCGAAATAAATCATTTTTCAAACCTCACTGGCAAAGTGCCTTATGGAACTCGATCGTTGTTCCTGACAATCCGAAGGCCAAAACCATCAATGGGACATGCGAATACAGCCCACACAAATGAATAGAAGGTGGTGTGTGAACGGGATAGCTAGAAAGGTGTGAGGGTCGACCGAACTGGAGAAAAACCGAATTCGAACCGCTTATGACTTATCGATTTTGTGATGAAACATGCAGCGTAGGAACAGCAAATCGATAGGTTTGATTCGCGCGCTAAGGCTTGCACAGACCAATAAGGATGCAACCGTGATCGTAAAACACATCATAGAGCGGGACCGCAATGTCCGGAAGACATACATAACTGCGAGGAGAACGAAAACCGCAAACAATGTGAACAAGGAGTTGCGGGATTATCAAACTGTCCATCCATGGTCGACACGGATGGGATGATTGGTTCATAATTCGACAAGTAATCAAGATGACTTGATCCAAAACCGAGTACAGTGAATGAGCACATGTGATTGCAGATTTTCCTTATTTCGTTTTCAATTCCGATGAATTTCATATAATAAATTAATTCTCTCTCCTCGTGTATTCAATTTTTGTGAGACTTAAGGTTGACAACAGGAGGTATTACAAACCAGATACTGATTGGTTATATCTTTAAGACAAACTTGTTCCTGAACCACAATTAAAGCATTCCATTATTTTATTACACACTTTCGTGTGATGAACAACAGACGGGGTGGAACCCCATAATCACGAGGACCTGCTGTTCAGTGATGGAAGCCGGTAACCTAAGCCCCGGGACTTGGAGTGGTAAACCACATAAGGCCCCGATAGGTTGTGTGGTATTGAACCGGACGACAGCAGAGCTGCCTACCACCAAAGTCGGGTCGCGGTGGCGGGGCTCGAACCTCTGACCATGGGGTCTAAAGCACGCCGGTGACAGCAACTAAACCACGGCGCCACCACCACAAAGATTTGAACGAGTCCCTGTATCTCTAACTGACAGGAAAGCAAAACAATGCAAACCAAAAACTGCAACTACATGACATTTCCTGACCTCCAACGGCATGAATAAATACTTGAATGCTTTGAGAACCAGGCAAATCTTAGGGGCAAGCAGATTTGACTGGGTAATACATGGCATGACGTGATTATTGCAACGGAACCCGAAGATTACAGCAGAGACACAACAGCGACAGGATACATCACCCCATCGTACGAGAAATAATTTGAACAACCTGAGACAATTAAAACAAGTGCAAGTTCATGTTTTCCATCGATTTCAATATTGAACGATACTTCCAACGTGTTTACTTCATCAAAAAAGCACACGAATCACGAGTACACTGGCATTTGACATGCATTGACCATTCACCATATTGATCACATTTCATTAGTTCAGCTCCAATACTCCTAGATCAATCTATTTCTTGCTCTGTTGACGAATGTGACCCATGACCTAACGAATTCACCTGCTGAGAAGCGCTAAAAGCCGTCCACCTCTACCTGTATTCATATAGCCGAATCGATTACTGCCAGAGGTTTTAATCCGATTGTTGCATACAGAAACACATGAGTGAATCGGAACTGGCCAAGTGACATGCCTCTACAGTTGGTGGTGCACATCAAAAAGGATGGAGTATAATGACTGCATCTGACGTGTTTCTACTTATTATGTGACTGGTGCGGATGACTTTGTGTTTTGGGAAGATGCACGAGCGCCATCGTTAAAGACACTCAGCCATAAAACTCAGTGTCTCTAACCACCTATTACGACCATTCCAAGACTCCCAGACGGGGAGCCCAACGGGATCTATGTGGACCAGTCTTTTCGTTGGGGTAGGAATATTGAGTAGACGTACGAGCGCCACTGTTTGCGAAACTCAACCATGATTGAGAGTGAGTCGTTCTTCGTACAACACAGTCATTGCGATTATACACTAAGACACCTTTTTCTTCGGCTTTGGAAGATCACACAAATTGATGACAAACAGGCCGAACTCTGTACACTTATTTATCGATAGATTTAGTCTATAACGCTGCTGTTCCCCAGTCCTTGTTTCTTTCGATATGCTAAAACAGAATACAGTGCTTGTCAGGATAGCACTTCTCATGTATCATAGAATACCAAATAAGACTCAACTTCTGTTGTTTTAATAGACCCCAAAGCAAATGAAAGTAACACATTATTCCAACCGGCATACATCATCTACAGGGGAAATCAACCATTTGTCCACCTGATCCAAGAGATGAGCGAGTAAAAAGATGAACAACTTGAGAATCCTTAGACAGCAAGCGTCCACCTGGAAATGATCATTTGCGCTATTTCTTTGAACATTTTCAACGGTTGAAAGCTTTAATACTTGCACGTACACTTGGATTCACTTTGGCATACAATAAACTGGAAGAGAATAACACGAACTATCTCCAGACTATTCTACTGACCGCGTAACCCGCTGAACGACAGTGATTTAAATTATCTCGGAGAGAAGACAGTAATCCAGGAAAACCAATTTATGCTGGTCATTCTAAACGATCAACCTCCGATAATGCAGCCATAAAAACTATCAGAATGGAACAGTTACTAGTTAACTAGCTCAGTTCAGTTTGCACAACCACTAACCATGCACTATAATGCGCCGGTTTCAGTTGCTATCTTTCGGCTGCCCATTTGGATGAACATTAGGAGGAAGACAGGAAAGGTTGAAAGCAGGATCGAAGTGAAAATTGAAAAGTTCAGTGGACTAATGATACAGAGAAATTGAGAAAATGCATGAACGCCACTGTTTACGACGTCCAGCCATATGATTCAGTGTCTCTAACCATCGGTTACGACCATCCCGAGGTCCCCAGCCAGGGAGCCTAACAGGACCTGTGTGATCTAAACTCCTGGTTAGGTTTTTCACACCCTCATGCCAGGACTTAGCCTGACCACCTTGGGCTTTCTTCCACCCACTACCTGCCTCGGCAAACATCGCTCGCCGTGGCAGCCTATTTGGAGACATGCGTAACACATGCCCCAACCAACGTAATCTATGGAGGTCGACCACTTGCTCCAGTGGGCGACCGCGGTTGCCCACTGACCTCAGCATTGCTTGTCCGACTACCCCACCAGATTCGTGCAATACTGCGTAGACAGCGGTGTTCAAACACCGACAGTCTATCTTTGTCCTGTTTTCCTAATGTTTCTGTTTCATATAGCAGAACTGGCCGAACTACTGCAGCATATACTCGACCGTTCACAGATAGCCGGATGTTGCGACGGCGCCACAGATGTCTCAAGTTGGCAAATGCCAATCGAACCTTCTGTATGCGAGCTGACACTTCATCCGTGATGCGTCCACCGGGTGAGATGTAGCTGCCCAGATAAAACTTATCCACCTGCTCTATTACTACTCCAGTAACAGCGAGATTGGGTGCTGGATCAACCCAGTCTTGTAGTAGCATTTTACACTTTGAAGGTGCAAAACGCACACTAGTTAACCAGGTTAGCCAACAAGTCAGCCGCACAACCAACACTGCGCACAAGTATGCGCATCCACGAGAGTTCATCACACATCTTACGGCGATTGATTGATTTCATAACAAAGTAGTCATTGAAAAGATGAAGGACTACCAGCAACTTCCGTTTATTCTGTCCACAACCATTTGACGGTTGAATGGAATATTACCAGGGAAGCAACGACAATTTCGCTGTTGCGAAAGCACTTGATTACCCTATGGCGTGACTGAAAATCGTCCAAATTGTGCGAACCTGATCGTCAAAAATATGTACCAGATGCTGTCAACTTTGTAGTCGAATTCAGATTGTTAGTCGATTGACGAAACAAGTTGTTCGTTATTATTTGGGTCCGGAAACGATTCACTTAATCAGGGTGAAGAAGTGGTCCGTCAACAGCGTCTATGCAACGGAGTGGCGAGTTATAGAAACAAATCAAAAGAACGTGCACTTAGTACTTCCATAATGACATCCCATCCAACTATGCAAAAGC